AACAGTTTCAATATGAAAAATAACTTTTATATTGATTCAATGGATTTATTGCATTAAAAAAAAAAAAAAAAAAAAAAAAAACGTGCGTGAAACTTAGAATTGTGAATCAAATCGATTATCTGTCTACCCATAAATTCACTCCCCAACTTTATGCTTAATTTCATGCGTACAGTCACGAGCGCACAAACTCAAAGGGAGAGACAAAGTGATCTCAAACAGTTGCTCAATATGGGGAGTGATTTTTGAAACAGTCATTGTGTTAGTGCCACTTAAACGGTTCCAAGAATCTCAAATCCACCATAAAGCCCAGATTCATACTTCGACTCCCTGATAAATCCCCTGACTGACACAATCCAGCACATGCAGAGTGTCTGCGTGTGTGTAACGTCACGCGTGAAAAGGCAAATACTTCAGTTCTGGTCTCATTATTTCCATCATCGACCTCTCTGTCTTTGTTACTAATACAATCCTTTACTGTCTTTAATGCTCATTTATAGACAAGATGATTGAAATAAGCAGGGTTCCTTCTGTACTGATGTGTCAAACAGAAACTCCCACACTCAAGGACTCTAGTTGCTCACTCTGTCCTTGAACTCATAATAGTTCATGTCTCCATTAACAGTAGAAAAGAGTCGTTCAAGGCCTTAAATGGCTCGCATTCACTCCAGCACTCCGAAACACAAATCCCCACAAGAACTACAGCCACCAGCCCTGGATTTCAGCCTCACAAATAAATGACAATTACACAGCATGGTGTGTTTTGCTTGGGCTGGATCCTGTCTAATGGATCCTGCTGTATAAATAATGACTGTGTTTTGGACGACGCCTTCAGAATCTTGTGGAACAGGGCAAGGATGAATAAACACAGAAAGCTATGTTGGCCGATGTTGGCAAGGCAGGCTGCTGTCAATCACCCACGTAAACACATAATAATATAAAAAATATATATGCATACATGCACACTCACAACAGAACATACTTTCAACACTTGGCACGAATCAGCAGACATAATCACTACACTTTTTCTTATGTACTCTATTCGTGTCCTTTTAGGTCTCGTGTGACGCCAGTTTCTTGGACCGGGGAACATTCCACAGATGCCCACGGCCAGAGATGTAAGCTGGAGTGATGTCATTGCTTTCAAAAGGGCGTGGCTGTGAGCTGGCATAGTAATTTAGGATGTGGTGCTTGAAAAGCATGGCACTATATAAATGCTTTTAATCAGAACTGTGTATACAAACAAGCACAAATATAGAGAAGGAAGAAAGTCTGCAGAAGAAACATGCTGGAACTGGTTTGAAACCAGCTAAAAATAAAAGCCAGCATGTATACCGGCCTCTCATGGAAAGATGTGCACTGTGCACAAGACTACATGTGGATTAATACGTACTTTTATTCAGCAAGGATGCATTTATTTGATCAAAAGTGACTGTAAAGACTTTTATATTGTTACAAACAATGTCTAATTCAAGTATACGTTGTTCGTATGACCTTTCTATTCATTAAAGAATCAATATTAAGCAGCACAATTGTTTTTAACATTGACAATAGTTTCTTGAACAGCAAATCAGCATATAGAATGATTTCTGAAGGATTGTGTGACAGGGAAGACTGGAGTAATGATGCTGAAAATTCAGCTTTGCATCACAGGAATAAATTACATTTTAAAATAAATTCAAATAGAAAACAGTTATTTAAAATTTTAATATTTCACAATTGGTTGGTTGATTGGTAGGTAGGTAGGTATAAGATGAGTGAGTGAGTGAGTGAGTGAGTGAGTAAGTGTGTGAGTGAATGAATGAATGGATGAATGAATGAATGAATGAATGGATGGATGGATGAATGAATGAATGAATGAATGAATGAATGAATGAATGAATGAATGAATGAATGAACGAACGAACGAATGAATGAATGAATGAACCCTGCACGTGTAAACCTGGTCAACACTATTCTAAATGGTTGCCACATCATTGCTGTGTTGTTGCTAAGGTGTTCTGAGTGGTTGGATAGCACATTGCTATGTGGTTGTTAGGGAATTTTGAAGTCAAACTCCATTCAAGTTCTTCTGTTCTGAAGTCTACTTCTTTAGTTTAAGTCTATGTGGTTTCTTCATGTCTTTTATTGTACACAAGTTGAGTAAAAATCAAAAGAATGATTACTTAGAAAATGTAATAGCACAACAAGCTCAACAAGCCCCATCATTCACTTTATCAGTCATGTTTGAGTAGGACAAAGTGCACTCCAAAATGTAACATTCGGAACTACAGTATGAGTGGCGTTGCTCATGTGGGAGATTCAGGTTTGAATCCAGCCTGCATTATCTCCTGATTCCATTCTCCCTCTCTTTCTCCCCATAACTTCCTGTGTGCCCTCTACTGTCTATAATAAAACTCGCAAAAATGCCCCAAAATAAATAAATAAGAATACGGTGAAGACAGTGTTTAATACAAAACTAATTGAAATCTTGTGATGCATAAAATAGAACTCTTTTTTTTCTTCTTCCAGATTTCAATTTATTTGCATGCTCAATTGCTTTTACAGACTATTTTTCTGGAAATTCCCTCAGAATTTCCCTTGCTGATTGACTGATGACCTTCATAGGCATGACACATAATGGAAACAATCTCATGGGCAAAAGGATTTCTTTATATACTGTATGACTAAAGCACATTTTTCATATCTGCTTTCTTTTTTACTTTCCTTGAGTACAAATAAACCTTAAAAAAGAAGAAAAAAACAAAACAAAACAATGAAAAACATCTTACCTTCCTTGTGCGAAGCTTGACAAGGGATCCTTCAGCTTTTGGGACACTCTCATGGTCTTTGGCTGTATTTGAATATTGGTTTGCCTGATGTTCATCATAGAGTCCTTCAGGTTGAGGTTCTTCTCCAGTTGGCTCCTTTAGACTCATGCTTTGATCCTCTGAAGTTGTCAAATTCTCACAGTTGTTGGTTTTTAATTCTGCACTTGCTAGATGTTCTGGCATCTCTGCTAATATCTGAGCTGAAGCATCATCTCCCGATTCAGGAAAGGACCCCTCGTGGATAGTTTGGAGTTTTGAGAAGCAGTCAAGCCTTGTTTCCAAGATGTCAATTTTTCCAGATGGTTCCAGTTGAGAAGTTTCACAAGCAGGTGGTTTAAGGCTTCCAATTTTTAACATCTCATGATCAGAACATTTAAAAATGCCATCATCCTCCTGATTTTCAATGTCTTGACCTTGAAGCACTATGCAACGTTTGGACACTAGACTTGCTTTATTAGCATCTGAGCTAGCTTCTGGAATGTGAATTTCTTGAGAAGTTGATGATGATAAGTTTGGGATCACAGCTCCGTCTGTGTATGAGCATTCAACTTTTCCACATGTTAAAACCGTCTGTTTAGACATTTCACAACATTGTACTTCCACAATATTGTGTGGGTCAGCAGATTTCTGCTGTGAATCAGAGGTGGGAGGTTTATTAGTTATATTTGTGATCTTGCTTGTGACACTCATGTGTTCATGTACTAACATCTGACTGCCCACACTGACCTTCACCATGGATTCTATATTTTCTGAAGTTATTTCAGAACAGTCAACATTGACAGAGTTACTGTCCTTCAACGCATCTGATAAATCACTCGTTTCCTCTATTTGTGCTAATACTGCAGTAGGAAGTACATAATGTGTCAGGCTATGGGAAGCAGATACTTTATCCTTGTTTAGTTCCTTATTATCTGGATCTCCACTGTGAGCTTGCAAAGTTCCTGAAGCAGAACATTGCAATTCATCTTGATCTGCCACGTTGTCTGAAGGTAGCCTGCTATCTTGGTCACTCTTGTGCTGTGCTGTCTCATTGACGGTGTCTCCAGGCGTCAATGATTGGCACTTTACACCTTCAAAGCTAGGTTGAGTTCCACCCTTAAACTTCTGCACTATCCTCTCCATCGTTCGTCTACCATCTCTGATATCCTCCTGAGGGCAGAGTAAAGTCCGAGGCTGGTGATGACTACACTCAGGCATCGAGGCACACCTACTGCGCTGGTAGCGCACATGGCAGCAGACCAAGTCTAGGTCATCATAGCTGTACTGTAATCCTGTGCGTGGGGTCACATGATCCTCCCAGCTTCTCTTACGAATTGCAACAGGCATGGCAAGATCCCTCTGCTAGCCCATAGAGCCTTATTATTATGGCTCACGGAAAGCACAAAACCAGATACAGGTGCTTCTGCAAAGAGACTCGTTTAGTCTGAAGAGTCTGTTCTGTGTTATACTGAAAAGCACGCTGACAACTTAATGTGATGCCACAAACCTTTTGAACATCATAAATACTAGATTTATTTTTGAAGAACCAAGTGTATACAAAGCAACAAGGAATTGGCTACTGTCCATGGCTTTTGACACTGTATTTTTAATACTAACAGAAAATATATTACAGCTTAAAGCAGATTTCATAAACAGCTGTAGGACTGACTCGTGAAGGAAAAAAAATAAACGAATCACATTTACCCTCGCGTCCAACTGTTGAGTCAGCCAAGCATTTCACCAGATCCTCCACCCACTCAAAAGTACAGTAAGACTTCTCTACATTTTGTCATTCTTCAGTGATTAGCCACCAAGGACTGACTTCTCTTTAAAATTAGACCAGTAGGAAAGTCTCAAGATGGAAAGAAGTTCAGTAATAAAAGACCGTTGGGGGAAACCACACAGTGTGGTGAAATGGCAGGAGCTCTTACAGTCCCTTAAGTCTGATAGATCTTCTCGATGTATATGTGAAGTCAGCGTTTAGTGGCGAGCATTCAGAGAAGGTCCTAACCAGGACATTCCTCTCACATCTGGCCAGAAGTTACTCCCTCTGTTGAACATCTGGTCGTGAGGTCCAACTTTCCTTTGGCAAGCGCTTTCGTGGATTATTCGTTTTTCGATAAAGACCGTTATCTTGTTGTAAAGAAAGATAATTCTTAGTTGCTCATGTCACTGACATCCTGAACTTACTTTGTGCTTGTTTGGTAATGTCTGAGTCTCAGTATGAGCCTACTAGAGTAACAAAATGTCTTAATTTGAATATAAACAACGAAAACGTGACAGCAAGCCAATGCAGCGGACATTTAAAAGAGATTTATAAGCAGATGGTCAGTCTAAGCATTAGTACCTGAATGCTTCTCCTCTTTCTCTGGCCTTGTGAGAGTGTCACTCCGTGTTGGTACCGTGCGTCTACGGCGATGGAGCGGCCAGTTACCCACTCTCCCCGCCGTGTGGTGAGCTCACCCTCTGACACAGCTATCTCTGTTCTCAAGCCAGCCAGGACGTCAAGGTCATGTGTCTCCAGGGGTCAACAAATTTCCATGGTCCCATACAATGTTACAATCAAAAACAATTCCTGCATTGAAAAGGTCTAAAGAGGAATGCAGAAAAAATACACTCTGCATTAAATAATTCTCCAAGGTGAGAAATAAATAAATGAATCCATGTTTGAAGGCTCTAGACTAGTACTTCAGTTCTGCTTATAGATCAAGTGTTCAGCTGTCAGACCGGCATCGCTCTTCAGCAATAAGCATCCCTAATTGGTTCTGCAACCAAATTGTGTTTTTCCTTCAATGAAGCGTTCGGAGAGATGATGCAAGAACTCCAGAAGAGGGAGGAGGAAGCCATGTGTTTCGACCAATCTCTCTCCAGACGTCTGGGGCGATCACTAATCGTGGTCAGTTCCTGCTAGAGCCTTTTCTCCCTGGAAGAAACAAGGAGGAGGAGAAGAAAACAGAGACGCGTGGAGCTTGAAACGTGGAGAGTGTGTTGTCATCCTGACGGCATTAAAGGTCTTTGCTTGGGATGACTGTTCTTTTTGTTTCTGGCAGTCTTAAGTCACTGTTTTTCTTTCTCGCTCTCTCTTCCTCCATCTCTTGCTTTCTCAAACTCTAATATATCTATACATCTCTTACTTTTTACTTGCTCTCTCTCACTGTTTCTCTGTCTACTTTTCTTTTTCTCCCCCTTTCTATTTCCGTGCTGTTCATAACATTTCATTCTTCCTATAAAATCGGCATGCCACATTCCCTTTCCTCTCACTGACATTCACACACAGACACACACACTTTCTCTGTCCACGCTTCTGTGTGTGTCTGTGTGTGTGTGTATCAGTGTTCTAGCTGGGAAAAGCACTCTCCAGTTTTGATTAGAAGCAGACAGCATGCTGTGTAAAGGTTTGAGTTAGAGGGCCAAGTCAGATTGCAGTAATGCTTTGGCACTCATTTCTAATTTCCTTTTTTTTTTTTTGTCACTAACGTAACAGCACATGCATTCACTTAAACAATGAAACTTTATGAAACTATTATGAATATTATTAGCAATAATAATAATAATAACAATAATAATAATAATAATACTTATTAGTAGTAGTATTATTGTTGTTGTTATTGCCAAAATAGTTTGAAGGACATTTTTCTACATATCTTGGATAAGGGCCATGTCAAAACTCTTTGACAGTGGCTTGCTTGTTCTTGGGCTGTTTCAAAGAAAAACAAGTTATAGTGCATTTCCGTGTGTGAGTTGGCTATTCATTGCCTAATATAGACATGTTTCTTGATGGTCACCCCCTCTCTCTCATATTCTCGCTTTGTTGTTTAATGGGAAAAGACCTGGAACCCATACTGACTAAAGGAGCGTTCACACTGACTGCCGTTTGCAGTGGCCAGAAGTCATTCGCTTTTAGCTTGAGCGCTGACAATTTGTTGGCAAACAGTGAATGTTGGTGGCATGATGTGAGTGTGAGTAATATAGGACACAGTTGAGAAAAGTTTAACCTTATGCAAATGATTCCAGGTAAGACGGAGGAAAAGGTAATGTTACTATTGTGATTTAATGTGAATTTTACTGACTTTCACTGACTCCACGATAGTTAAGCAAATTAATTTTGAACACACTCACAAGCTCCCAGATAGAAACCTTGTGTGTGGGACGTTGCTTGGAGGAGTTTTTCATGGGAAAACTGTACTGTCCTATTTCTAACTGCTCTTAACCTCTGCTATTTCTGCTCCTCTGACCAGAGGCCAAACATCACATGAACTCACGACAACAAAAAGTAGGTCTAGATCAAGCTGTGACCATTTAAAAGACCAGGGATGGTGTGTGTGACTCAGTTTCTCCACTAATTACCTTTACAATATTCAGCTTCAGTGAAACTGTGTGTTCTGACCATAATGAACAGTTATTTTCTAAAACATTGAAAATCATAATACCCCGATACTTGAACAGCTCATGAATCCTATAAAAATTGATGCTCTGAGCTGTATTCATCATTTGATAGGCTATACTGTTATTAAACTGTATGAGTAATATAAAAAGGTGTATATGTATGCAGGACCTGTCATCTTTGCTACAAAATGCTGAAACACACCCACACTTGTTCCTCCAGAGCGGAAACATGACCATTTAAGACCATGAGAGTTCCGCTCTCGCATAACAGCATCATTAGTCACATGACTCTGGATAAAGAATGACCCATTCATGAAGTGCTCAGAAGTCCCATCTGGTCTGCCCTGTGCTCCATAAGCATTGCTCAGAGCGTCCAGAGGAAATGCTCCCACATTCCTCTGTCGTATAGTTTATTATTGGTTGACAGTCAGTTTAACTTGAGGAGGGCACCCACGTGGGGCTGCTGGAAAGTTTCACTTGCTTGAAGGGGAAAGTGAAAAAGTCATCAACTTCAAATCTGATGCAAATATCAGACAACTGCTTACCGAGATGGAAGACAAGCGGTTCCATCATTTGCATGGAATTTGCATGGATGAGTTAGATCTGGTAACTGTGCATTTCCATCAAAAGTTTGCAATATTCACAAATCCAAACCAAGAATAGGAAATGTCAAAATAATAATAATAATAATAATAATA